CGCCGTCTCTCCAACCCCCACCTGTCTTTTCTGGGTTTTGTTTGTCCTTTTGGTGGTGGTGGTTTGAGACAGACTTTCTCTGTGTAGCCCTGGCTGTCCTGGAACTTTGTAGCCCAGATTGGCTTCGCGCTCACAGAGTTGCCTCTGCCTCCAGGGTGCTGGGATTACAAGCGAGCACCACCACGCCCAGATCTTTTTTGTTTTGGTTTGGTTTTTTGGTTTTGCTTTGTTTTGTTTTTTGATTTACCATTCTCAAAACTCAGCTTTGGAGTGGGATGTTTCAAAGGCTTTTGAGTAGCTTAAATTCTAGCAAGCTGAATTTCTTTTTTTTTTTTTTTTTTCATTATGTGCATGTTTGTGTCTGCATGAGTTTGATGTGTGCTGTGCGCGTGTGCAAGTGCAGAAGAGGGCAGTAGGTCTCCAGGAACTGGACTTGCCAGTGGTTTTGAGTCACCAGTGTTGGTGTTGGGAACCAAAACCTCATCCGCTCCAAAAACAATACGCACTTTGCGATTTTAAGCCTAGAGCTATTTCTCTAGCCCTTCCTTTTTGGTATTCACGCATTCGCTGAGAACACCAACCTCATTGACTGGGCGGATGCTCATTTGCAGTTAATAATGTGAGGATGCTGTGATGTTTGTGGGACAAACGATCCGCTCACACTGCTACAGGGAAATGGTGGTCAGCCCCGAGTTCCAGAGGGAGCCTGCAAAGTGTCCCACAACTCTGGACAGAGCCAAACTCTCTCCAGTGAAACACACACATACAGAGACACGCAGACCTGGAAACCTCCATATTCACCACTAGGAAGACAAGAGCCGCTCACACCCAAACCTCAGAACCTCTACTCTTCTTTAAGAAAAGTGTTTCTTTGGTGTGCACCCCATGGTCCCACTTTATACAGAAACATGTAGCAGGCATCTTTGTGAAGTCTCAAAGTTTGAGTAATGTGGACAGTCTTGATTCCTGACCTGGGGCTCAAGAGAGGACTGGACACCTGCTTCCACTCAGATCGGCGCTAGATCTAAATCACAGACAAGCTCTCCAGCAAAACTCCAACTGTGACTACCCTTGATTCTAATGCATTCTAGTTCTTCCCAGAGCCTCAAAAGGGTTAAGGTTTCAGAAATAAAGTTGTAATCACTGAAGTATGCACACAGATGAGATTATAACCCCAGGGGCTCATGAAATCTTGATAGCCAGGAAATTAATTACAACTCTGAAACTCTTACTACAAATAACTAAAATAAAACAAGGAAACACACAGGAAAATCACTTCAGTGAAGTCAGCTTTGTACTTTGGCCTGAACAGCAAGACAAGTTCACACTTGCTTTCAAATTAAGGGGGCCTTCTTAGTAAATGACTCAGGGCAGTACAAAACATTCTTTCTCAGTTAACACTCCGGTCCTGCGGACAAGTCAGATGGGGCGGTCCTGCGCACAGAAGCAAAGATGGCCGCTTCCAAGGTGCCTCTGCTCAGGGCTTGGCTCCTTCTATCTCCAACCAAGGGTCTAGATCAAGACCAGAAGCTTCCAAACCACCCCTCAATGGCAAAAGAAGCAAAACGGCCTAGCAGTGGTGATCCTTGTACTTGGGAGGCAGAGGCTGGATGATCTCTCTGAGTTTGAGCCTGGTCTACAAAGTGAGTTCCAGGCATCAAAAAAATAAAAATAAAAATAAAAATAAAACTAATTATTCTTTTGATTCTTTCTCTTCTCAAATTATTTCTTGTATTTTTTTCTTTTTTTTTTTTTTTTCTTTCAATAGTATAAAGGTCAGCCCAAGCCCTTTTAGTCAGCAGTGAGCAAAATCTCTTTGCCATTTTAACAGATGTCAAAGACTGGGGGACAAACCAAGGAAAGTAACTGTTATGTTTGTCTGATTTTATTTTTGCTTTACATATATTGGTGCTGTGTCTGCATGTGGTAATATGGGTGCCTGGTACCCATGGAGACCAGAAAGTGTCAGATCCCTGGAACTAGAGTTACAGTTTTGAGCTGCCATGTGTGTGCTGGGAATTGAACCCAGGTCCTTTGTAAAAGGAGCAACGCTCCTAGCCACTAAACCATCTCTCCAGCCTTTGTTTATATTTGAGAAAGGTTCTTACTATGTAGCTCTAGCTGGCCTGAAATTTGCTGTGTAGCCCAGGCTGGCCTTGAACTCAAGCGTTCTGCCTGCCTCTGCGTCCTGAGTGATGGGATTAGAGGCACATACTATCGTACTTTGGCCAGCAGTTTGATTTTTTAAACCATCAGTATATATTATTAAAAATGACTGATAAATGGCAAATACCAAAAAGGCTTTTTACCATTGGACAAGTTTATAGATGGCCTGTGGAGCCTCACTGGGCTTTTTTATCCTGTGTAACATAGATCCAATCTCACAAGCCCTTTACCCTTAGGGGCTACAGTCTAAGACTCTGCAGCAAACAACCGTGAATTCCCTGAAACCTGGATATGCACGTTCCCAGGCACACCTAGCTATGATAAGGTTCAATTTGTAGAACACAGAAAGAGCAGCAATAACTACATCTGGAGGAGTCACAGTCTCATGACTGGACTTCTGTGAATGTGGCCTCGGCACTTCTCTCCGTGTCTTCGTGTCTCCTCACCAGGTACTCTCTTTGGGTCCAAGAAGTCAGCCACCCTGGTAGTCCACACAGATCTGATAGGTGACACACAGCTGGAGAGTGGCAACCAGCCCGAGGAGCCTAGACAGAGGACTCACCACAGCAACAGCAACTCACCCCTCCACTCAGAACCTGCACACTTCAAAACGGGCGGGCTCCTATTTAGTATTTTCAGACCAGGGACCAGTTTAACTTTGGCTAACTGATGTATAGAAGGCAGAACCTTGGGAGGGGGGGGGGGGCTAGTGTCATTCTGCTACACACCGCTTGGGAATGCAGAAATGTGCCCAGTAGCTCATGCTCATGGCCTTATGCAAAAGACACAATTACCCTCCCAAGTAACACTTTCAGAGAGCCGAGGGACAGAGTCAAGCTTCGGCACAGCTCGCGCCGTCTTTGTTTTTGGTTTCTTTGGGACAGGGCTTCTCTGTGTAGCCTTGGCTGTCCCTAGACTCGCTCTGTAGACCAGGCTCACAGCAATCCACCAGCCTCTGCCTCCCTGAGTGCTGGGGTTAAAGGTGTGCGCCACCAGGCCCAGCTTTCAGGCCCATATTTCATCTGCTACATGGTGAAGCTTCTTTAGTACAAATATAGAGATACTCACCAAATCTGACTGGCAAAAACTTCAAAAGATTGGTGGCATATAAAATGGGGACAAGTGCCCTGGGAAGCAGATACAGGCATACTCTTCAGAGTGTATTTAAATACTGGAGCAATTTGGCAAAAAAAGAAAATCAAAATTTACAATGGACATCTAGCCCACTCCATCCCCAAATCAATATGCAACCTTTTCTTATAAGATTTATTTTTAATGTGTGTTTTGCCTAATGTGTGTATGTGTACCACATGAATGCTGACTGCCTTCAGAGGTCAGAAGGGGCCATCAAGTGCCCTAGAACTAGAGTTAAGGATGATTTGTGACCCACCATGTGGGTGCTTGGAACTGAACCAAGGCCCTCTGGGAAAGAAACAAATGCTCTTAACTGGTGAGCCATCTCTCCAGACCCCTAGACATACAACTTCTAAGCTGACCATTTTATTCCCAGAAATACAGCCTTCAAAAATATTCTCAAAGAGCCCGGTGTGGTGGTGCGTACATTCAGTCCCAGCACTCGGGAGGCAGAGACAAGCAGGTCTCCACGAGCTTAAGGGGCCTGATGTGCATAGCAAATTCCAGGGCTGTACAGTGAAACCCTGTCTCAAGAACAGTGAAGTAAAGATCAGTGGCGTGCACACAGACGTACAAGGCAATAGCCAAGAAGAAGAAAATAACAACATGAGATAGCACAAGCCAGGGGACACCCTTCTACACAGGCCAGGGCAATGGCTATGCACACCGTAATCTATCTGGACCATTAAAGGGTCTATAGCCTTTCGAGACAGATACCAAGGTGTACAAATACACGGGAAAATGTAAACCTATTGATTAATGAAAACCAGTGACTGCAGACAAACGTGATCTACATTTTCTTTATTTTAAAAATAATGATAAAAAAATAGAGTGAATTCACAAGGCCAGGTTTAGATCCCCGGTGTTGCGTAAAATAGAAAGAAAAGGGGTGGGGTGAGCGCCACCATGGGAAGAATGGCGGGGTTCCCTTTGTCGCCCCCAAACAGAGAAACACACAGCCCGAAAGAAGTTGTGTTTGTTTTTTAAAAAGTTTGTGTATTATTTATGAATCAGTCGTACAACACAATTTTTTTTAAAGCCACAGGTACAGGCCATGTGTAAAGTACGTACGTCTGGAGCCCTGTACCTCTGCAGTGGCTGCAGCCCGTTTTGTGTTTTCCCAAACAGATGAGAAGATGTTAATTCCATAGTCAGGAACAGATAAACGAAAGCGATAATACATATTCCAGCAGTGGTTTTTATAGATGACTAAAGGGTCCTTGAGAGCAGACAGGGGACTGTTTGGTGGGGAGGAAGGTAAATAGCAAGGGCAGGAGGGCAGGGGAGGGAACAAAGGGAGGAAAAATGATTGAGGGGGAGGGGAATTGACACTATAATAGTGCATTACCATAAAAATGTCTTAAGTTTCCATGATACAGTTAAAAAGTAGCTTTAAAAAAACACTACGTGGTATTTGCAGTTGGCAAAACACTCCATTACCCACACTGACTTAAGTTAAAAAAAAAAAAAAAGCTATACAAAACTTTCTATTTACATGTTTAAGATTCTTATTTTCTGCTGAGCATGGTGGCACATGCCTTTAATCCCAGCACTCAGGGAGGCAGAGGCAGGGGTATCTCTGTGATTTCGAGGCCAGCCTGGTCTACAAAGCAAGTCCAGGACAGCCAAGGGCTACACAGAGAAACCCTGTCTCAAAAAAAAAAAAAAAAAAAAAAAAAAGAAAATCCTTATTTTTTTTTTCTTGACTAACAGACAAAGCTACAAAGTGTAACCAAGGAAATCCTAATAAACTAGCAGGTAAATTTCACTATAAGCTGACTATGAAGAGGCCCCGCACATTGCGGTTGGTTTTTCTTTTCCAACATTGCTGCGGTGCGCTGGCAAGCAGAAGCAGAGTTCAGCTCCATGGCTCTGCGTATGCAGACAGCACTGAGGTTTGGAGAGCAGCGTTCCCATCACGGAAGCTAAGGGACCTTTGCATTGAACAAGGTCCTCAATAGTTCTGATGAAATGGTCATTTGGATTCTCTTGTCCAGTGCAAGCCCTCTGTTACCTGCTTAGAATTCTGGCTAGGAACTTCATCCACAGTCCCCTCTTCTTCTAAGTCTGTAACGTCAATCAACAGGACTGAGGCTCTCCAAGGGCCTCCAGTCCTGACAAAGCTGCGATGGACCCCAGACATAGAAGAAATCGTTTCAGCTAGGAACTTAAGCCTTCTCACCAGGCGTACTTTCTTGCAAGTCACTGGATTTCTGTCTTCTCATCACTTCCATGAAACATGTTTCTCTCAGTCCAGTTTCCGGGACAGCAGGGTAGAGGAGCAGAATTCTGCCACTGAGGTCCATTGTAATTAGAATAGAGGACTTTTCTCATGCAAACACAGAGGCTTCTAGCAATCCTGGGAGAGCTGCATGCTTGTGATCTGTGCTTGAGACTATCAGCGTGGTTAGGAAATGACAGCCCCACGCATGTTGTCGCATCCCCAACACACACACACACACACCCACACACACGCCATTACACAGGCTTGAGAGCCTCGGGTACAGTTCAGTAGGAGGTTTTAACACTAGTTGAACTTGAAGAGTAAGAGCTGGATTTCCTGGAGAACTTGGAGGTGAGGGATACGTGCATGCGATTCACAGTGCGGACACTTCGACAGAGGAGTGCGTTTTTGGCGTGGTCCCTGAAATCCTGCGAAACAAAGTAATAGACGAAGGGGTCGATGCAGCTGTTGAGGGTCGACAGGCAGAGGGCGACAAGGTAGAGGGCATAGACGTGGCTCTGGCTCTGGGTTCTAATCAGGAAATAATGCACCACAAGCAGAAGGTTGCTGGGAGTGAAGCAGATGAAGTACATGGCCAGCACGGTGACGATGAGTCTGATAGCCCGCCGCCTTTTCTTCTCCGAGTGTTCATCCATGGCTGAAGAACGCAGTGTTCTGATCATGAGCACGTAGGCAGACGCAGTGAGTAAGGCCGGGAACACAAAGACTCCGATGGCCAGGGAGAGGAAGTAGTTGAACATGTCCCCCACCAACACCTCTTCGGGCAGCACGTCATGACAGGTGGTGATGTTCAGGGCTGGGATGTAGACCGTCTGCTTCACGACGTACAAAGGGATGGTGACCAGAAAAATCAGGAGCCAGATTGCCAGGGAGACACCAATGGCGATGTTTGCCTTCTTCCTGGGGTGTCCCATGGGGTTCACGATCACCCAGTACCTCTGCACGCTGAGGCAGGTCATGAAGAGGATGGAGCAGTACATGTTGCCATAGAAAAAGCCAATAAGCACCTTGCAAAGTGCATCCCCATAGATCCAGTTGTTGCCATGGAGATGGTAGGCGATCTTCAGGGGGAACCAGATGACAGACAGGAGGTCTGCCAAGGCCAGATTGGCCATGTAGATCACAGCAGGGTGCTTTTTCTTCGTTCGGAAAAGGAAGACCCAGAGGGCCATGCCATTACTGGGCAAACCGATCACAAAGACGATAGTGTAGATGACTGGAAGAAAGACAGTGGTAAGCTTCCCAGTGAGGACAGATGTAGAAAATTCATCAATGGAAAAGCCTGGTTCTACTGTAACCCCTTTCGCAGAGACTGGAGGAGGGGTGTCCAATCTGCCAATAAGACTTCTTCCTTTACTGCTGGGTCCTGTACAAAGAAGGCAGAGCAGGATCATTACTGAGATAAATGGTCCAACAATAGGGCCGACATGCTTAAATGAAAAATTTCAGAGGAACACAGACAGATGCTCTGAGAGGATCAAGGAGAATATTCTCTCTGAGTAAAGGGCAGGGGAGGCTGCTGGCAGCGGAAGTCTAATTCTGTGCATGCTTGGCAAGTATGGTACCACTGAGCTATCATCAGCCCCAGGGATAGGACTTTTTTTTGTTTAACTGTGGGAGTTTGGGGTTGTACATAGGAGCCTGAATTCTATGAATCCTCTTTTTTTTTTTTTAAAGTTTATTTTTGTTTTATGTGCATTGGTGTTTTGCCTGCATGTATGTCTCTATGATGGTGTCAGATCTTGGAGTTACAGACAGGTGTGAGCTTCCATGTGGGTGTTGGGAATTGAACCCTGGACCTTTGGAAGATCAGCCGGTGCTCTTAACTGCTGAGCCATCTCTCCAGCTCCCAGACTTCTAGGAATCTTTTGACTGACAGGATTTCAATTTATTATTTTTTAAATAGCTACACTCATTAATTCTGTCATTTAATCACACACCCATCAGCAGTCTTTGACGGGTCCACTAGTAAAAATAAATAAATACATGGATGGATAGATAGATAGATAGATAGATAGATAGATAGATAGATAGATAGATAGATAGATA